AAAAAAATATTGCCGTAAACAGTTTATTTTGCGACACCACGAAACAAACGATAGCATAAAATTAAACGATAGCCGTTTTTATATCGTCATCCGATATATATTCTTATATCGAACAGCCCTAATTACTATTACTAATGTGTGTATAATTAACAAACTAAAACAGTGGTTCCTGCTGAGACTTCTCGATTTAAGTCCAAGAACTACTCACCAAAGTCTGCAATCTTAGCATTCATATGCGCATCAAGCAGCACATTTTCTGGCTTAAGGTCTCGATGTACCACCATGTGTCTGTGGCAGTAGTCTACTGCTGAAATGATCTGCTGGAACAGTCGTCGACTCTCCTTTTCATCCAACTGTCAAAGCAGAAATTATTCATTAGGTGTGATCTTTCCTTCCTCAGTCAGAATATCACTGATGACTAAGCAGCACCTCATGTTGTGTTTTGAATATCTTTTTCAGCCTTCACAGTTTACAAAGTTCAAAGATTACTTTATCTCCACTGTAGTCTGATGATGACAAGTGTATGATACTTATCTGCGTTATCTTTATCTCACTACTGATAAACATCTGCAACATCTGTGCAATATGAAATGATGGAAAGGGTTAAAGAAGTTTGGAATCAATATACAAGTTTCCAGTCCTAAAGTACCTTTCCATTTTTGCAGATGTAGTCAAAGAGCTCTCCCCCTGAGACATACTCCATCACCATGAAGATATCTGTAGGGGTGCTGATAACCTGATACCTACAGTCAAAACACAAGTCATGTGGGTTATTAGGAGTTGGAAGGTATTATACAAGAAAACATTTAGACATGTCTGTTACCATTTAATAATTATTACAAAGAATAATCGGAATATGTGCTTAGTTTTGGACAGCTGACTCAAATTTTTAGTTTTAATGTTACTTTGCCAATGGTCTATTTTAGCCCATTTATGATTAATTTTAACAAAGTAATTTAATCAACCAGCAGCTCAGTTCAACCCACAGGAGATTGTTAACACATCTAATTTTTGGTTTCCTGTAACAAAGAAAAACAATTCCTCACAAACAGGAAGAAACTTAGTTGCCATGGAAGAAAATTGGTGTGCTCAGTATTGGAAAAAAAAAAAGTGTATGAGAGCAGCACTTTGTGCAAATGTTGAATATTATAATATAATACAAAAACAATTGAGCATTTTTATGTTTCTGCTGCCAGACAGACAACAGACTGAGCTATGAGTTAGACACCACTGCATACTTGCAGTCCATTAGTGGCATTCATCATACCTGCATCTATTTGCACTAAAATGCTGTGTAGCTCTCTTTGCACATAAGCCACATCTGTTGCTGTTTTACATAATCATTATCAAGCTGTAGAATCAAACCAGGAGAAATTCTTGATAGCAAGTCCCAGAAACCACATTGGGTGCAGCCTCTAAAGCTCAGATTTTACAAGTTTTAAATACAGACAACAACAACAACAACAACAACAACAACAACAAAAAAATGCATTGACAATGTGACAGTGTTAAGATATTTTAAGAAAACATTCAGAGCTTTTGTAAATCCAATACACACACAACATACGCACTACCATGCTGGATAAAACCAAAGGCAATAATGTCTGCCATGCAGTTTGTAGCTCAGCAGATGTTAGAGATGTTCACTAACTGTGAATCTGATGTGTTGCAATTGCAGAAAACATCCCATCAATAAAAATGAAGCAGTATTAAGCTACATTACTCGATCTGTTATTATCCCCGCTAGACAGACAATGTTATGTACTTTGCCCCAGTGGTCTGTGCACCCTGCCAAAGATGGAATCAGTCTCTCATGCGTAGACACACAGACATAGCTTACATTTTTTAACATGGAACGGGTATTTCAGGCAATTATACTACCACCCCCCCCGTCAGTCAGTTTAATGACCCTGTAACTGTGGCCTTGAGTCTGTGAACATTCCCTTACCAAACAGGAAGTCCCCTGACAACTGTCAAATAGTAAGTTTAGCTTAGAGCACCAGAACATTATAGCACAGTCAGCTCAGACTATGACGTTAAAAAATTACTCATTTGAAATGACACACTTATCTGTTTTAGCCTACCAGATGTTGACAATAATACCAGCAGAGCAAGCTACACAGCTACCCACAACAAAGGCAAAGCCAGTGCACTTTTGTACGTTAAAATGAAAGACCAACTGAGGGAATAACGAAACAGTCAATACTGCACAATGGGGAGAGGTCAGAAGAGAGAGTGGACTGAGTCAGACAGATACTGTCCTAGATGGATGCATTCTAAAACAACACTATAAAGGCCTGAAAATAGCTCAGTGGGTGGCATTAATGTGGTGGCAAGGGGATTATGGAGCAGCGAGCAGGGTGTAATCTAGGACTTACAGTTTAATTATGTGAGGGTGCCTGAAAAGCTTGAGGTTCTGGATCTCCCGGCGAATCTTTCCCACCACATCCAAACTGCGGATCTTCTGCCTGTTCAAGATCTTCACTGCCACTTGATGCTTGGTCAGCTCATGTTGGCCCACTGAAGGATAGAAAGAGAGTGGATGGAGCATTTCTATTACAACCAAGGCCATATAAAATAGGGAATGGTGAAGTATTATGCAAAACAAGGCATCTTCACGCAACTTAAGGAAAGGTGTAATTTGTTGTTTACACTATTAGGATAAAGGTTACCAGACGTGCTACGAATCTTAGAGGTGAAACCTATTTTGGAAACAGAAGGCAGCATGGTGGATGAAGGACAGCAGCAATAGGACCAATATCTTGAAGTCAGTGTGAGGAATGGGAGATCTAAATCACCACCTCCTATCACAATTTTAAGAATATAAAAAAATAAAAACATTCAAATTAAAGAAAAAAAAATGGAAGAAAGGGGAAAAAAAAGTATTTTGTTTTCAGTCAACCATATTCAATCACTCAAGCATATCAAAGCATAGCTTTGTCATTTGGTATTATGGAAAGACTGTAAAACAGTTCTCTTGTTTTTTGCTGAAACTGGCTGCCTACTGAGTGTGATAAATCTAATGCTGAAACAAAAGTCCTTCTAGAAGCAAATCTTGCCACGCACAATGTTGAAACAACTTCCAGCAACATTAGGGCACATACTTACTAAACATCAGTCAAAGCTAACCAAAACCTCTAACAAGTTTGCAAATTTTACTTCTATCTGCTGTTTCAGCATTCTCTCAAATATGTAAATTCAAGAGTCTTTGAACGCCACATCTCTACTTTATAGTCTCCAGCTGAAAGTTATATTTAAAAAGAAGAAAAAAATCCTAGCACATGGTAAATGATCTGTAAAGATGAGTGGGGATACACAGTCAATACATGAGCAAATAGGTCAAATACAGAGTCCTCATAACTGAAAGCGGTAAAAAGCCGCACAAGAAACAAAAAGATAGCATCTCAATGGATGGTGGGAAGACAGCGCATTTGCCCATGGGAGTTAGCAAACAGCTGGTTTTGATTTACCAGCTGTGTCGGTAGTAATCAAGACCATAATCACACAGCACCAACTCTAGCTCTTTTCCCTCAACATCAACAAATAGCTGAGAGCTGGGAGGTGACTCATTGGGAATTAACCGATCACACAGCTTGCGGTGGTTCCACTCCATTTCGATATATATTGTGGTTTCAGTGTTTCTACTGAACAGAACAGCCTGTAAGGTAAACAAAACGCACAGACACGATTACTTTTAAGAAATAAAACAGGTTTTTAGTCCATTGCGTGTTGATACAACTCAAGTTGTATATTGACTTAAGCTTCTAAGCGTTCAGCCCTGTGCACTGACAAAGTGGGCGTAGATTCAGCAGAGTTTGTCCAACTCTTTCCATCGAAATTTCAGAAATAACATTGAATGCTTGAAACAGGCAACAAATACGACTCGTGGGGAAAGAAGTTGTGAATAAATGTAGTGCAGAGTTGGGTTTAAAGGCAAGAGAGAGGAAACCGTACTTTACCGATTAAAATGTACTCTTGCTTGCGGCAACATCAATGACGAGGGCTGACTTCCCGGTGTATGTCTCAACAAGCGCTTCGCTCGCTAGCACGCAACGCAACCGACGCTAAATGGCAAACTATGTGACCAGCTACAGCCCAATTTCATAAAACTTGCAGTGTCTTCTTTATCTTAGAAACTACAACGACATGCTCTAAAACCTGCGTTTTGTCACACACACAAAAAGTTCAGAAAATAACGCGACAACAAGTGTGTTGCCTCCCCAGCACTGCGACAAGTTAGCTTTCCTAGTATGCTAGCTTAGCAGCTAAGCTAAAAGCTCCCTCTCCCACCGTCTCGCAGCTGGCAGGATGCACAAACGCCTGAGACAGTTACACATACCTTTAACCTTCCCAAACGTCCCCACTCCGAGAGTGTCTCCGAGAATGTAATGTCCAATTTTAACTCTTCCTTCATGCTTCACTTTTTCCGTCGCCATCTTCCCGCAGTGGCCTTGCTGCGGGGTTAGCTAGCTGCGGTAGAGATGGACCGGACTCCGCTATGTGTTTCTCCACTCTAGCGGCTCCGCTCAACACTGAGGGTGGGAGGCGTCCCGGCTCCTGTGCGATTCGTCAAACTCGTCAACGACGTAACATGTTGCATTTAAATGCTCTCAACAAACTCCGAAATTGTTAATCTGGGTGAAGTTCATGTTGTAAACTTGTTTTGGCCGGAAATTCTACCGTATAGGCTAAATCAGGGCCAGGAAGTGAAAGGAGAGAAAATGTGCTTTAGGAATATATGAGATTGATAAATTATGATGTGCCCAATCAAATACTATGGAAACTCTGGATAAAGTCAGCAGTTTTCTGCCTATATAAAAAGGATTTCTGGCTGCTCTCTTACTGGGGCCCTATTTTTATCTGTCTAAATACAACATAAAAAAGATTTTAAAAACTGACAAAATACCATCAGGATTAAATACATTAGAAATACATGAATACAGTGAACTATGTTTCATAAGAATCCATTCTCATAATCGTCTCAAATATATTTCCCAAACCTTGTTAACTTCATAAAAAGTATATAAACAAAAGCTGCACTCCAGTCCAAACTATCCAAATTACAATAAATGCCGCTTCAGCAAGGGCAAATTAAACAGGCTTATTGTATCCACAGATTTCTGTTGCCTGGTGACACAATCAGGTTTTGTGGGTTTATACTTAAGGCACACTGTACAAGTGAAGGAACATTTTAATGTAGATAGTGCACAGCACTGTTTGGAAGCAGAAAGCTCAATGTGGCGAATGAATCAGCAAACTCTGCTGAAATATGACTCCTGGTCCATAATTCATGCTGGAAAAATCACGTTGAAATGAGTCATAGCATGAAGATCAGTAAATATGGCTCGATTGTGTTGGAGTAAATATATAATGCACCATTCTTTCCCCTATACTATTCAGTTCTGCAACATGGCAAATCCAGTTCATAGTTGTGGTTTTAGGCTCTTGTTTATGAGGTGGATATATATTTTGCCATCATCCCACTCTGCAGTATTTGTTGCACTTATTGTTAACTGTTAAAAATATTGAAACATTTCAAAGGTAAATATGGTAGATTACAAGAAGAAAGGACACTCAACTGTCTAGAAACAGAAAGATGTGCACAATATTCATGGGAACCAGATTTCACAACAATTGTAATTATTCATTTTATGGAGTAAAAAGTCTTTGAAATACTTGTTAAACTATGCTACATTTAATATGCAAACATATCCAGCAAGAGAGGAAAAAAGACAGTTTGACCTTGCTGTGTAGTCTGACTACAAAACTCCATAAACCTTGTAAAGAACCACTCCTACTGTATGTCAAGACCTGAAGCATGAAAAAGCCTTACAGACATGCAGGGAATTTCAATGAACTGGTCAGGAGGAGAAAAACTCCTCACTGACAGTAATGCATGACCACACGGATTATGGTTCTAAGGAGTGTCAGGACTCATGTTTAAAGCATGGGACAATGAACCTGAAAGATCTTAAAAATCTTTCACTGCCCTTTTTAAAAAAAAATATTATTATTTTTCTTAAGTACAAACTGAAAAATACAGGTTTTGTTCAGTCAGTGATTATTTAAAAAAAAAAAAAAAAGAAAGGCTTGGTGAACAGTTACCATGACTCCCTTGAGAATTCTGGTAGGAATTAACAGTGAGTACCAAAAGTCCTGTCAGTGACACTTAGTGTATTTTTGCAAGTGTGAATGTTGTACTTTGTATGCAGTTTGAGTCTCAGTACGTAGGGATCTGGCTCACTGCAGTACACATAACAGGTATTTGATTGAGCTTCTTAGCACACAGAGAACTCAGTATACATCCCAGAAGTACTGCACTCAAGATACCCAAAATGATGATTTAAAGTAATTTGATTACATGTAAAAAATAAAAGAAAAAGAAAAGAAAGAAGAAGAATTCAGTGTAATTTGGTTACATAATTACAAAGTAAAACATTATATTAAATGGATTATATTATATCTTTTTGATTGGTTCTTGCCATAACATGAATGTTAACAGTTGTGAAATAGGGCCATGTACCAACACAACACAACTGATGATCCCAACCCCATTAAGAAGGCAAGAAATCCCACATATGAACCCAGAGAAGGCACACCTGTGAAGTGAAATCCAACTCAGGTGACTGCATCATGAAGCTCACTGAGAGAAGGCTAAGGGTTTGCAGTGCTGTCAACAAGTGATAACATATCATATGATATATATGATATATTATCACTTGAAGCTCACCAAAAATAAGTTTTTGAAGTTTTCTTTAAAAAAGTATTATCAAATATGTTATGGTGGCTGGTGTCAGCTATATAATCATGACAGCTATATACTACTGGTTGTCAGACACAAACAGCACTGTATCTGAGGGGCACTAAGAAGGGTAAACTGGCCACGTTTTGTTTGTTTGTTTTTTTAACCATACAAATCTTTGCAAACGTGTGTCATCACATGAAAGTATGTTCTTGAAGACACCAACTGCAGGAACAGTATTGTATTGTTAGTACAATATTGTATTATAATACAATATTGTTGTCAGTTTTGTATAAGTATTGCTTCATATCTTATTGCAGTATTTTTGTTTGTTTGCATCCACTAAGCAGGTCATGGGTTACAGTTAGAGCCTGACCCATATAAGATTTTTAAGACATCACTATTTGAGAATTTTAAAAAAATCCAATAGCTTGATATACCAGTCCATATTTGTTTTTCTTTCTGGCACCTACATAAATAAATTGCCCAAATATTTGTTATGTCTAGGGATTTCTTTACTTCTTTAATCTAGGCCCCACTCTGCTCTGATCAGCTGGTTGTATCCAAAGGTAAGTTGTTAACAGAGAAGTTACAGAGTGGCCTCTGGTGGACAAAAAGTGTAAAACACCAACATCCATAGCTTGGTTGAAGTGTTTCTCCCGTCTCTTCTTCACTTTTTTAATATTTCATTTTACAGTCATTATAAATGCTAGATGATAATAGATAATATCGCCTGAAAATATCAGTCTGATGATAAATCGTTGGGGCTCTAGTTACATTTCACACCATAGCAAACTTAAATGTCATCCAGATGATTGTGGCAGCTCAATGAAAAAGACATATATACACAATAAACGCATTTAGTTGTATAGTTAGTTATGTCATATGCCAAAGTGGCTTACGTGTCCACGTGACAATTAAAGGCATCAACCAGAGACTGTAAGGATGCTAAATGCAAAAATAAATAAAAAAGTTGTAAAGAGAAACAATGCATATTAAATTAATGACACTACTTGAACAACATGTCAGGTTTATAATGTGGTTCCAGCAGGAAAAGTACTAAGAAAGCAGAGCAGCTAGCCAAGTTTCCCAAAGGCTGAATGTTTCTATTTTCATAAGTGTATTTCTATGAATGTTTAATTAGTGACAGTCTATTGGTTCATTACAGCCTGTATGTGACTTTGCTTTTATACCACCAGTTATCCCCTTTTTATTTTTCACGTTTCACTTTTACATTGCGTTTTTACCAACAAAGGATAGAAACCATGCCATAACTTGGACTGTCCAATAGATGGCGATGTCTGTGCAGGATCTGGTAAGGAGACAGATGATGAATATGCTGCTTTATGCTGCCCTGCAGTGCCCTAAATCTCATACACACATAGCTAAGGCAAAATTTATTATGGTGTGCAAGAAAAAGTGGCAAAAAATAGTTTTGTTATTGAAGACTGAATACGGGCCTGCGGATCGGTGTCTTTAAATAATTTCCCCCAGGGATCAATAAAGTATTCTGATTCTGATTCTGATTAAAGAGAAACCCAGCAGTGCCAGCAAATTCATCTTCCTCCACTATGCTACCATAAGCTCCTGACAGTTTATTACATGCAACAGTGGTTATCATTTTAATTAGAGACAGGCTTATTATAATCCTACTGGGCCCGCCTGTTTGCATGCTTGTTAAAGTATTGCTCATTATCCTCTACTCTGTTCCACACACAGGCAGCTGCTCTCCCCCCTAACAAGGAAAGTGAATGGGCCTCACATTTCATACAGAGAGCACAACACATTCAGACCAGTTTAAGGGACTGTTAATGCTCACGTTATTTTACCTGTTCGTGAAAACAAGCAAAACGAAAAGCTCGTGAGGACAAACAAGTAGCCTAATGCACTGAGACAATGACCCAACTTAGTGTGTGCACCCAGATTCTCTTATGGTACACACATCACTTTTGTGTGTGTGTGTCCATGCAATACGGACACGGATATCTCCAAATTAGATAATATATCACCTTTTTCTGCATTTGTCAGCACTAAGACAAAGGATGTGCTGTAATCTAGCATAAGGATTCCCACTTTAATGGTCTGCCAATCTTTATGACTGTGGTGCCATTCAAGGACACTCACCTTTGAATGTACTGTAGCGAGATAAAATTACTATTTATCAAGTGAAATCTGTTGCTGTGTGGCTGCTGCTAGATTCTAATCCAAAGTGCAGACTTTCGTCTGTAATTCAAGCAGTTTCACAAAACTGTTTAGGAATTACAGCCATGTTTCTACATAGCATTCAATTTCCAGAGTTGGACAATCTGAAATAATGTTTAATATTATAATAAGGTCCCCCCCGAATGCTGTTGAGGTGGGAGTTATGGGATGGGGGCCTCTGCTACACCTTCCCAGCGCACAGCCAGGCTTCAACTTACAGGCAGCAAGCCAAAAGGATACACGGACACCTTCCCCTGCCCGCCGCCTCTCACTGAGGGCAACTCCAGGTTGGAGTCCAGCCTCTCTCCATGAGAATCCAAGCCATGCATTGAGGTGAGGCGACTAGGTGTCTCTCGACCTCAACTAGCTCAGATTCAGAAGACGTGTCCCAAAAGCCAAACCTTAATAGCTGGAGAAAGTACTACCAGGGCCTCTACCTGACTCACTTTTGCAGTCAATTATTGCTTATGGCCTTGAAACCACTGACATACTTAAATGATGGCTTCCTCTCTTGATATGTTACACCTTCAGTTTCTGCTCCTTTGGGGGTCTCCTCTGCCTTCCGTTTTATTTCAGTAAATGAAAAGCAAGCATATGTTGGGCTGACTTGACCCCTGAATATCTAATTTCTTGGTGATGAGAAACAAGCGTTGCTTTCTGATCTGCTTCGCAACATTTGGCTGAATCTGAGCAGGTGTTATAGCCCGATACACTTCAGGTTTCATCTTGCTGGTTTTATCAGCATTCACATCATCAGGAAACTCTAGTTACACCTACAGCCATACATGCATAATGTGCCTCCACTTTCTGACAAATGATGTGCTATGATTCAGATGTAAAAGTGGTTAATGCAATACTTTTGAACCATTTTTATTAAAGCAAGAAGTCAGCACTTAAATCACTTCCTTTGATTTAAAAATCCACTGGGCTCCTGTACAAAGGCCAAGTTACAAAAACTATATCACTGTTCAAATACTTACAAAACTAACCATCTGAAACTTGCTAACCCTAAAATCTTACCAGTTTAAGACAAGTTTTTCCACAGTGAACAACTCAACACTTGTGCCCAGTGTAAGAAGAC